AAAAAATGTTTGTATATTTTGATATATAATAGTTTTACATAATATTGTTTATTATTTTGTAGCCCCCTAAATAAATTATATTAGTTGGGTATTCATAAAATAAGATTTTTATAAAAATTCATTGGACACAATGACCAGAAGGTTGTAAATCACTGTTCTAGACTATAATAGTTTACTATAAAATTTTGTTTCAGTAATTGAAAATTTTATTATTTAGCTTTAACTCAGTCCACATCGTCTTCCCTGAATAATTTAAAGAACTTCAATGATTCATTCAATGGACACACTGATGCATTTGGTTGTAGCCAATCTTTCAACAACATAAAATCAGTGAACCAGCAGCAACCACAACCAACTTTTCAAACTAATTTTCCTGTGATAAATAATGGCATATCTCCATTAAATACATTAAACATGAACAATCCTCCCCCGCCTGAAGATAAGTATGCTGCTTTAAAAGAACTAGAACTGGCAATGAAAAATGAGCAAAACAAACAAGAGGTATCTAGTAGTAATGGAATTTGGAATTCGCCTAAGGAAGTACAGAGTAACAGACCATGGGAAAGTGAATTTAATCATTCTGGTAAATATTATATTAATTACATTATGTTATGTTATTTGTTATAATTATGTATTTATATTATTTATGTTTTTAGCATTTGACCCAAAATCGTCCACTGTTACAAATCCATTCAGTTTGAAACAGACATCTGTCCAAAATATTTGGACCAGCCCTCAATCTGCTGTAGAAAATGTAAATCCTTTCAAAGTTGAACTAACAAACAAAATGAATCACAATATGAACAATGCAAATACTCAAAACCTATTTGATATCGATCAAAAATGGATTAATAACTCTCCTCCTAGTAACAATGTTAATGCAGCAAATGTGTTCAATCAGTCACCATTTGGTATGTCCAATTTTGACAATATTTTGCAAAATGGGAAGAGCGATTTTGGTAATGGGCAGAGCTGGGCTACTGCTAATCCATTCTCGGTAAGACTTTTTTAAAAGTCAATATTTCTAATTTACAATGTATCATTGATTTTATTTGCCATTATTCTAATTAATTCTTTTCTATAGTCTCCACAAGTAATGTCCAACAACCCATTCTTATGAAGATTTGCAAAGAAGACGTAGTACTGTACATAGAAAAGTGGCGAAAGAAACACAACCAGTGATCTGTATATTTTGAAATGAAAGAAGGGGATGTATTGCTCAATAATTTTAAGATCTTTTAAAATATATTAGTAGCTGTTAGAGATATATTTTCGCAAGATACAGATGGTGAAAGTGATATATTACACATTTCTTTTGTGTACATTGAAAAAATACTTGATGTATTTGCTTAATTTATTTGTAGTTTCAAACCTTTTTCACTTCAGATGTGCTAAATGCTGCTGTTTCATTTCTATTGTTAGTCAAATTATTTATTTAGTTTATTATGAGAAAGCAAAAAGGTTTGAAATTAACAATGTGCAATATGTCCTTCATTTTTATTTGTTTATTCATGGTGTAACAATTATGACTTAACAAATATTTTAATAATAAGTTTACTAGATAGGCCTAAACATTAAACTTTTGTTTGATGGGGAAAAAATGCATCAACAATTTCAAACTTGATAAATATTATGCTTGTGTTTGATGCATTTGAAGATACTCATTCTAATTACTCTTTACACATTCATTTTAATTTAAAGATATTCTATTATTTAACTAGCCTGTGAATGCTTTTTATTAACTTATGCTGCAATCTCTCTAACTATATCACCCGTGAAGTCACATTATTTTAATTTTGCTATTAGGATAATTAATTTAGATTCTAGTAATTTAATATTAAGAACATTTTATTAATATGCCTTATTCCAGAGAAAATTAGTGTTAAATTTATTGTTGAACATGTATAATTGTCCGACAACCAAAGAGATTTTAAAATGCATCTTTTTTTTTCATTATTGCTTAATCGAATTAATCGAATCGAATTAATATACCATTAAATTGCGTATAAAGGTTTTTAGGATATTTTACAATATTTTCTACACTTATAATTTGATTATTTTTCTTATTTTATCAGATATGTATACTCTTATTTATGCTCAAAATGCTAGTCTGAAATATCATCTATGTTTTAATCATGTATCACTGTTGCTTTAGTTTTACTTAAAATAGTGATCAAAATTAACATTAATTCATACATAATTCAACAAATTTAATTTATTTTTGCAAAACTTGCTGACTGCAAACAAAATATGTTAAAATGCCTTAAATGTATTATAATAAAATTGGATAATAGGAAGTGAAGTTTTTATAATGAACAAGGTATAATAAAGGCACTATACAGTTTAATTATAATTTGTTGAGTTTTATTTACATCCTTCATTAGAACCATTCATGTGTAATTTTAATAAATTTATTTTGTAATTAAGGTAAGTTTTCACATCTTTATATAAGAAACATGTGTAATGAAGATTTACTTAATGTTTGAACAAGGTTTTTTCGTATACTTTTAAAATTAACCGCCAATTCTCTTTTAATGTTGGTATGATATCTTTTATCATGCTAGTTGGCGACACTGTAACCTCTCTGTCAAATCAAACTTTGTGGCTTTCTGATAGTAATGTGTACGTTTAAAATTAATTTAATTTTATAATAGATTACTCAATACTTTTTATTGTTTAAGCTATATGTATTGCGTTTATTATTAATTTGTTATCAAGAGTGGGTTTTAGTGTGTTTTGTAATTTTTCAATTAACTAAATTAAGAGGTTAAAACTCTCGTTGAAAGTTTCGCTCGTGATGTTAGTATTGTTTATATTTGAAATGACATTGTTAAATATTTGAAATGTCGAAAAAGAATAGTATTACATACATTAAACCCGAAGAACCTAGTTTTTTGAAAAAACTTAAAGCTCAAATTGGATATAAAGAAGCACCGACTGTCGAAACCAAAGTAAGTTATATCAATTAGAATTATGATTATAAATCTTATGCAAAACATATATCTGTTATAATAAGTTATAACTTTAATTTGTCATAATAAATTGTAACATTAAGTAATAGTAAATTATTATATTAATAAGATTTGTAGGTATTATTGTGGTATTTGCACAATATTACATTACTACTAGTGCTCTCTTTGCATATAATTTTTCATAGATAGTTAGTCAATTTATTGAAACCATCCTGTAAGTTATATGCCAATATATTTCAATATTTCTCAAATATAGGTTCTCGATACAATCTGACACAGATCCAATAACAAATCAGATTTTAACTTGCCACATTAAAATTCATTAAGTATTATTACTTAAATATTTGATCATCAGTGTTCACCATTAGCACGATTTTGAACAGCAAATTATTTGCTTTACTTTCAGAGGGAGGCATTACAGTACGACGATTCTGAGCAAGATCCAGATTTTGATGAAGCACCTCAGGTTGTGGTACTGAAACAAGGAGATTTAACAGCAGAACAAGCAGCTATTGAGAAAGAGAGGCTTCAAAAAGGTTAGTCAGAATTAATTTCATCTATGATAAAAGTTTAATTATATATATATATATATATATATATATATATATATATATGATAAAGTTGTTCTTGGGCATCCATCCAATAATTAAAACGATTTTATTGTAGAAAAATGTTCTTATTGTAATATCATACGTTTCGGATTCTGATTTGGCTCAACTTCAGTGCATACAAATAAATTAAAGAAAAAACACACGAAAAGATATGAACACCAATTGATATAACATCAAGTTATTTGTATCAATTTTAAAAAATATTAAATTGAACAAAATAAAAATAAAATAATACTTTTTTTAAAAAAAGACTCTTCTCATAAAGAAATGTTATTTGTTTGGAGTTTGTTTTACAAGTAATTTGTAAATTATTTAAAAAATACTACTTCTTTTGCAAGTAATTGTAATCCATGTAGTAAATCTACGTGTTGTATTTTATTTTATGATTCAGGATAGTTGAACAATCTATCAACATTGCAATACCTAGTTTACGAATATTTCTGATTTCTTGCCCTAATCATCAATATGCATTGATTATATCAAACTGTTATTTATATTATATATTAATATGCAAACATAATATATAATAATAAAAGGTTTATTTCTAACAACATAATTCTCTGCTATATTATTGGTGATGGTGACGGGGTGGAAAGGGTTAAATATGTATATTATAAATAATAAAATACTGTTGATACTTAATATTATAGTTATACATGGAAAAAATCTTGTTTTGTGTAAATTGAACAAACCATTGTTTTTTCTTTGATCAAAAATATATTATACAAATTAAAAATTAGACACTGATGATGGTTTTTTTTAGAATGCATATTAGATGTTCAATCAGAATAGATGTTATCCTTTTAGACTATTTGCTGGTTTAATGGAGGATTTGAAGCGATTTTAACGTTCTTCATTTTTCAAACTAAACACAAAATTCAACTCAATTTAATGGACAAATAATTAATAATGTTGATACCAAAAAATTAAATAGTCAAAAGTGTACGTTTTTTTTCATTACGCATACATATTCACACACACACATATATATATGTACATATATATATATATATATATATATATATATATATATATATATATATATATATATATATATATATATATACATATTTATATAGTATTTATAGTATATATACCTTTGTTATATATCCATTAAATATAATATTTTTGTTTTTGTGAGTATGAGTTTTATATGTATATTTATGTAAGTGTGCTTTCTTCTATACTAAATATATATATATATATATATATATATATATATATATATATATATATATATATAATGTTATGGGCATGTGTGAATCCTTTATATACATCAATATATATACACTCGTTTCGTTGCTTATATATAGAATATAAGATATATATATATATATATACACATAAATGAGCACAAAGTTGGGATGTGGTGGTGCAATGAACGTTGGTGTGTGTCAGAATGTATATAGAAGATACGTTATATACAGACACACATTTTCGAATCTGTGTTGGACTATCGTCCCGGCCATGTATTAGTTTTTCTATATAAACCGAATATATACACACGCCGTATATACGAAATTTGTGCGCGTGTTTGTGCGACATGCTGGGACTTATGTACGGTCTCTACGGCCATATTTGTTGGTAAAATTCCACAAACCATAACGTTTTATGAAATTAAAAAATATCGGTGCTTTTCAAGTGTCCATTGAAAAATATGCCGGGAAAAGCTCACGGGTGAGTTTCTTTTTGTATTTTTTGTACGTGATTAATGTTATTTGTTGGGCCGAGCAGATGAAGATGTCGGGCGTCGCGCACGTTACCCGGAACGATAACATTGCGCGTGTCTCTAAGGGGGGCTCGGAGACTCCATGACAACTGGAGAAACTCCGGCTTGTTGGGGATTCTAATTATAAAAACTTATCGCCGGATTTGTTTAACCTATTGTATTGTAGGAACATTTCGAACATTGATCCTTTTTGGTTGAAAATGCTTTCGCCTGACATTTGCTATGCACGGTCAGGTGTATAAATATGGCCACTTGAGAATAGTGTTGCATGATTGTAACTTTATGATCGCACGCGGTAAATTTCGAATCCAATTCAAAACCAAAACGTTATGTTTAAATCGGCAGTATATATAAACTGTTTCATTAATGATATTCTGCTTACATAATTACAGAGTAAATTTTATCATTTGTAGAGCACAGTCGAAGTTGCATAATACAAATACAAACTTAATCAATTTAATATATCGAAAATACTCAATTCGTACCCAAATAGTAATGAGATCTTTACAAAATATAATATTTAGATATATAGCGCAGAAATTCACAAAAATACTTTTTTCTTTTTTTTCATATTGTCAAGATTTAACTATTTATATAAGAATATGTGTACGAAAGAATTTTTAAAAATTTAAATTATTTTCGGATATTCAGCTGTTTGACTATGATAATCCTCTTCTGTTTTCTTTGTCTTGCGATACTTTAAACGTGTTTTTCTCAAAAATATGTTTTTTACTGCGATGCCCAAAATTTCTCGAGTTCTACTGAACCGATTTACTTAAAATTTTCAGAGAATCTTATTTATAGACTCCTCTCTGGTATATACTAATCATCCCCAAATTTCAGTTTACTATTTTTAAGAATTCGAGAAACTCAACAAAGTGTAAAAAGAGGGTTTTTTTCAAACAGTCACAATTTTCTCTAAAAAAATTATCTGGCCGTAGTATATTCCACAGCGATTTCATTCTAGATCAGTTATCTTTTTTCTTTAATTCAAATTAAAAGGGGGTTGCAATCGTGGGCATGGCCAAATGACAATTTTTGGAGACGCCCCGTTTCAACAACTGCTAACTCTTAAAATTGTTAACTTTTTTTTTTAATTTTTTATACTCTCGAAACATTTATAAACTAGCTGTAAGTGGATTTTTGTCTTAAGGCAATTAAGGCATCGTGCCTTAAGGCAAATTGCTGGAACTTTCCGTACCAAAAATTATTAATTTTTTAAAAACGATTAACAGTTTTGAAAAAAATGTACTTTGAAAAAATAAGATTTTTGAGAAACATTATATATGGACAAAAAATTACTTTTTCTTTGAAAAAAAAATTTTTTTTTTTAAAAATTCTTTTTTAATTTTTTTTTTTTGAAAAAAAAATTTTTTTTTTCATTTTTTTTTTGAAAAAAAAAATTTTTTTCTTTATTTTGACATATTGTGGAAGATCTGAACCTTTTTTCAAAGCAATCGTACTGATTTAACTGCATAGGGACAAAATATAAAGCGCGTAAGCGCCGCGTCGCTGTCTAACGCATAAGCATTGGTACGGAACTCATATGAATGTTAACAAAATGTATACTTATTGTTAAAATCTCTATAAAATATCTGATAATTTGATGTGCATATGTCTAATGATCATTTTTGACCGCCAAATGGCTAATTTTTTTACTTTTTTCTCAATATCTCCGAAACCGCTAGACCTACCTCTATGAAAATTTTATCGAATCTTCATCTTGTCAATACAAGTGAAATGTTTTTTGAATTATTTAAATCGGACGCTCCGTTCTCTTAAAAACTGAGTTACTGTTTTCGGCACTTTTTGCCCCGTATCTTCGGAACGGCTAGACCTGCCTTCGCCAAAAACTAATCAGCACGTCTCCTTATCAATACGAATCGAATGTTTTTTGAATTATTCAAATCGGTTGATCTGTGTTCCCGAAATCGTCGACGAAAATTTGTATCCGCACATACATACACACACGTACATACATACACACACATACACACACATACACACACACACACACATACATCCATTTTTTCTAAGGTATGCCAAAATGTTCAGAAACCTTTGAAACGTAAAGATATATAAAAATTTTCATTTTCGATTTTTTTGCGATTACTATAACTTGCCCTACGGGAAGTTAATAAATTATAAAAGAAATGATAATTCAATCACAAACATTGTTATTTTGTGAAAACAGTTGTTAATTGCTGTCTTTAATAGAACTAAACATTCTATTTTTTACGCTATCATAATATGATATACATATGATGAATTTCGTATTAGTTATATCGTTTTGTCGCGTTTTATATTATCATATTATGCCTTTCTTGCAATTGATAGAAAATAACTTAATCTTTATATTCGTCTTTGAAAAATTTAGCTATAAATATTTTATTTGAAAGGTTTGCGGCTTGCAAAAATTTTTATCAAAGGATAAAAAATGAGGAAGAGAGGCCGATGGCGAAAAATCGATATATTATATAAAAGCGAATGGGAACATTTCCTGTTCACATCCACTAACTTCATTCTTCGAAAAATAATCTAATTGCATGGTGGATTATTTTGGCAAATTAAATATATATGATCATGATTACTTGGTTATTTGAAATCAAGTATAATTGGAATTCATCTAGATAAACTTATAATAAGAATACGGTTCATCACAGTCATTGCCTACACAGCCAATATACGCCATAATTTTATTTTCAATTATGGACGGGATAGAATATTTATTTTCATTGTTGATGTACTTTCAAATATAAGAATTAAGTTAAAAGCTTTAGTTAGAATTACACATAATTTGAATCAAGCGAAAAATTAATAAGGGGGTTAAAGAACCGTGTTGAGTATAAGGGTTAGCACAAAAAAATTGAAACATATATAAACTGAGCAATCCATGGCCAAGTTTTTTTTTAATGAGCAATTAAAATTTTGTTTGCATTTAAAAAATATACGTAAATAATTTGTTTGTCGTATTTTATTATTTTTTATAGAAGAAGAAAATAAACCGGCCGATCTGTCTCAAAGAGTAATTTTTCGATCATCCAAAAAGCCGGATTTGGAAAAGCCAGAAGAAAAGGGGAAGAAAAGGGTCGGTCCGGAGGAAAAGTCGAAATCGGATAAGAAGAAACGAAAATCGGATAAGAGAATTGTGCCGGTGCTATCCTTTGACGTCGATGAGAATTAAAAAATAAGGTAAATTCATAAATTATAATAATTTTATCAACTTGAAAAAAGGCTTTGGAACAAAAAATGACACAAATTAATTCCATTTTAGTCAGTTTATTAATCATAATTTTTCTCTTGGTTATCTTGTTAACATTGCATCATTTTATTTAAAAAAAAGACTTGTATAAATATAAATTGTGTTGTACACTTGATCAAGAAATGCCGTTGATCAAGAATACCTGTTGAAGAACGGTACATATATATATATATATATATATATATATATATATATTTATGCATAATAGTTGAATAATCGTTACAAGACATATATGCATTCAATTCGGCTAAATGTGCATCTTGACAGAATTTCTAGTTAAATTTTATTATTTTCTAGTTGATTTCAGCAACCTTCAATTATGCATATTTATATTAGTCGCATTTTTGTAGATAATATAGTTTCATATATGTTTTTGCAAGATTTTATATGGGGTGCTCTTGTGATCAGAGTAGATTCTATATACATTGTTCTTTCTTGGAATTCCTTTGCCTTACAATATATAGATATTTTAGAAAGTCTGTATATATATATATATATATATATATATATATATATATATATACTTAGAATTATTTATGTATTGTTCGCTATTTTTCTCTCATTTTTATTAAATCGTTCCGATAATTAGTAACTGTTGCTAAATCTTTGTTTCTAATTTAATTTGATTTTTATATTCAAATTGGTTTTGTTTTTCGACTTCCCTCACATTATTTCAAATGCATGGCGTTATATACCCTCATAATTTTTGCTTACTTTTATATTATGAAGATGTTAAAATAGTCGAAGGTAGACAATCTTCAATTAAAGCATATGTGATGAGTTTGATAGGATGTTTTATCTTTAATGGGGTACCGATGGGCACATTGTAGTAATCTATGTCCGATTATGCCCCATGCGTTATACCCCATGGACCCCATGTATATATGATAATGTTGTCTTTCATAATTTTTGAAAAAAACATGTTTCCACCATTTGCTTGGTCGATTGATTTTCTACTTGGCAGATTGATTCTCGTGTTTGACTTTTTTATTTAATGGTAGTGATCGCAATTGGCCACGAGTGCCCGAAATTGTATTTGAGTTTCCCAAACATTTTGGTTCGGTTATTTTTTTGATTTCCTGCGATTTCTGCCCTTTAAAGATTCTTTGAGCGGCTATCGGACTCTTATTATTTAACATTAGCCGGCCACAATTGGTTTATCGTCATTTTTTTCCAAGACTTTTACGGTAGACGTAGCCACATAGGCAAAACGAGGATCGGGCCAAACCATTTTCTAATATAAGGGGAGGCCCGCACAGTGAGACCGAGCTCTCGTCATTTCAGGCCCGCAATGTGAGGCCCCGACGAAAGTAATTCGTTTGCCTCTATTGGTATTGGTGCGAGTGCCGCACTGATATGATGGTGTGCGTCGGTGAGCGCCAACGATCAGGATTATGTAACGATACATGGATAACGCGGGAAACCAATATAAAATACATATCATGTTCGGCCGTTGTACACATATCATATTCGACTCTGAGGAGTAATCACTGATCCATTAAGAATTAGAATATTTAAAAGTTTGATATAAGTTCCACTAGTTTTTGTTACTTTATGCACTGCCACTGTAGTATACATAAATTGAATAAATTTCGTACATACAAAATGTGTTGACCATACTTTTCTTTTACTTTTTTACGATACTCTTTCTATACTTTTCTTTCTAGAGTAGTTCGTAGATTCTTGATAATGGGCAAAAACTATATCCAAGATTTCTTAGGATGTACGCGAGCGAATTTCAAATTGTGGTTCATAGGCCGTTATTCATCATAAATTAATGAAACCTTCTACAGCTGCGACTCTATACAAAGCATCCTAGTAATATCATTCAAAATAATTAAACTAACTCAGTTGGCGCTTACACTAGATTAAATATGATGGAGCTAATGGATCAGACTGGTGTAGGACTTTAGCTTGTTTAACCCTTTCCACTCGCGAAATCCAAAATTAACACGTATTTTGTCGCCGGAGCGACGACATCCCAGTGAAAAAGGTCTAATTATATATACTTGAGGTTTTATGATATACTGAAAATTTGCTAGTAAAGCGGTCTGTGCATTGCCAAGTTATCACTTTTTAATTGTTACGAATAAAATTTTCAAGCGACAAGTGGCAAATTGTTGGACTGCACGACGCTTGCGATATGCGAAATACATGATCTTGATTATCCCTACAATTTATGATGTCAATGTCCTGGTACCGGCTTTGGAGCCGCCCGAATATAAGCCCCAAGTACGCCACTGCACGATCACGTGACCCGTGCCTGTCGCCATCTTGCTGATTTTGGTGAGGGTTCGTGACGTAGTGCTCCGTTAAATTAATTTTAATATTAATCTACTGTTATTTATTATTATCAATAATAATAATTATTATTATTAGACATCGATTTGATTCATGTGGCGTGTGTTTGGTGAATTCAAATGTGCCGGCTCTTTTGTGGTCTTTAACTGCTTCAGTTGATATCTGTAAACAGGGTATGTTGGCGGCATCGTGTACGAGGCAGATGTTCGTAACAATTAATTCGGATCGAAATTCTTTAGGAAATTATTCAATAAATGATTTTCATTTATTGCACTTGGTGATTCAGTTTGTGTTATGATATTTATTGTTTAAAATTAAACTGTCACTTGCGTTCGCTGCTCGCGAATGAGGTGGCAATTATATTTTATGATTATATTGTTATCATAACCTCATTTATAATATAATGAAGAAATTGAAACAATTGTTACCTAAATTGCGCAATATAAAAATGCCTTATGATTTTTTGTTTAAGTTTGTATGTCGGTGTGTGCAACAAAATAGGCGCCCAAAACGATGACACCAGGTGTCTGAGAGGTTCCCTTTTCACACAAAACTTATTCGTATATGTAACTCGTGTATTATTCTATAGTTGTAATATTGAAATCTCTTAAAATATTTTTTTCAAAATGATTTATAAATACAACTTTGTCACAAAGTGTAAAGTAACTAGGTGCTTCATAATTACTAATGTAATGAAAAAAAACGTCGGCGCCATTTTGAAAAGTATTTTTTGATTTATTTCACAATTCTTTTTCAAGACACTAAAGTATTAATTATGAACTGCATATGAATACACTATTCAGTTACTTGATTTTGATAACAGTTGTGTATGATTGTTTTCAGTTGGTTACTCACTAACCTTTATGAATGGTTATACTATTTATTAAATGTATTAAATATTTTAGACATCTGAAGAACCAGAATGGCTGAAATAGGATCTGATGCAGAAATGCACATCGATAATGAGGATAATGGTATGTATAATGTCACTTTTTTATCATGTTCTTATTCGACCGTTAATATTCATGATCATTGTATGAATAAGGTTACATTAAGTGATATCTCTCAATATTGTTGCAGATGTAGAAAGTGATAAAGTAAATGGTGCTTTTAATGGCTCTGCAGAACTTATGGATACTAGTGAATGTGCATCACCAACTACTTCTGTTGATAAAAACTTAGAAGAAAATTGTGAGGATGAAGAAAGTAATAGTCAAGATAATCTAAATAATGAGCACATAGATTTCAATCCTAATGAAAATAGTAATAAGAGCTTTGATGATAAGGACGACAGCAAATCTTGTGATAATGATGAGAATGATGCAAGCATGTCAAGACCTGATTCTGTAGTAAGCGAGAATTTATCTAGAAATCACAATACAGATAGTCAAGCTAGCAACCATAGCATCAGCAGTAATGGTTCTTCACAGCAAGAATTTAGTAATGGCAAAAATAAAGAAAATAGCAATGATACTCAAAGTTCTACTTCAGCTAAACAGGAAGATGGAATATTGATACCATCCGACAGTGAAGATGAAGTTGAAGCCTTGGATGAAGACACCGAAGAAGAAGAGGATATGGTGTCAAATGGAGTGAGCGTTGATGAACCCATGAGCATCCATTCAGACAGTGAAGATGAATGTGTTACTGAGGCTGAACCCAATAAAACTGATGATAACAAACAACTTAATGGAAACAAAGATTCTACAGATGTTCATGAAATTGAAAGTGATAAGGAAGACTGTGTCATAAATCTGGATACTCCTGAAAAAGAAGTTAAGGAGAAACCTGCAGAGACTACTCCTAGACGTAGCAGTCGTAATATAACTCGCAAAAAGTACTCTGAAGATTTTGAACAAGACTTAGATTTTCATAAAAATGTAGAAAGTGACTTAGAGGAAGTTGCTGTGGCTGATCCTTTGGGGGATTCATCATCAAATAGATCTTCAAAGCAAAAAAAAAATCAGTACCTATTGTTGTTAAAGACACCAAACGTTTAGTTGAAATTACAACAAAGAATATGACTCCTAACAATACGGCTAATAACAAATCTGGAAAGAAATCTCCTACTTTAGTGATAATTGATACAAATTCCATTTTATCAGGACGAGGTCCTGTTCCTATGGGAACTACAAAACAATCATTTTCAGTGATGCCAGTAGCTGTTCCTGCACAAGGAATGTATCCAGCAAATATTCGAGGGGCAACTATCACCCCAGTAAATAACACAACAGTGCAGAAAGTGAATCAAACAGTGGCGCCAGTGGCATCTGTACCTAGCTTAGTTTTACCAAATCTTACAGATGACATGTTTGTTGTAGAAGCTCCTAGTTTTATTGTACCCTATGTTTATGAGAAACCACCAACAGAACCTTTCCGAGAGTTTGTTGATAAAATGGGAAAAGAAGTTGAAGAGGCCAGAAAATTAGAAGAAGAACAAGAGAAACTAAATGAGACAAAGGAGGAAAAAGAAAAAGAAAATGATGAACAGAATAATGATGAAAATAAAGAACCTGAAATCAAAAAAAATCTAAAAAGAAGCGACGGAAAGAGGGTGATGATGATGAATCTTGGGATGAAAATGATACTTCAGATACAGAAGATGAAGATGATGTAGATGGAGAAAAAGTTCAAAAAGAAGTTTTAGTTAAAGACATTAAAGAAGATTCTTTAGAAGCTATTAAGAAGCATATTATAACACCAGATAGTGTAACAACCGTCAAACCTGTCGATAAAAAAGTGATAGTTATTTTGATAACCCTATTGGTAAATTTTTCATGAACATAGGAATAAATTTAGTACAAGAATATGTTCAAACAGACTTGCTCAAGCAGCAGAAACGAAAAAGGATCGAGAAAACAAAACATCAACTAATAGTACTGCTACACAAATGGCAATAAATTCATTAATTAAAAATCTTGAGTTCAGTAAAGAAAACAATGAACCTTATCACTTTGAACAGAAACGTTGTGAGATATGTAATTTTAAAACTGAGTCTTCATTGGCACTTGCACATCATATGGAAACTCCACACATGCGAAACTATTTCTATCGTTGTAATTTCTGTCCATTTGAGATTCGAAGTCCTCATGATATCCTAATTCACATGGAAGTTGAACACAAAACTAAAGGACGCCTAGAACGGGCAGCCTCATATCACCAATGTCCAAATTGTCCATTTGAAGATAATGGTAAGGCAAAATTAGCCAGGCATCAACTGGCTTGTGCAAAGAAATTCAAACCTGAGGTCAATCTTGGACCACCTTTGGACTGGGAGCCTCCAGCCAAATCCCAAGGACTTCAAGACCTAAACAATCATTAACTAGTGCGGCCTCAGCCTATCAGCAAGCAATGGCAAATCAGGCGCGAATTCAACCTGCACCAGTGTCTAAAATGACCTCTGGCTCAAGGGGGAGAGGAAGGCCGGCATTGAATAAGGCTTTATCTGTACCGACAGGAACATCAATGATAAGAGGGAATATGATGTATAGAACAAATGTTCAAAACAGTAACCAGTTGTTGCTGCCTAATAATTATTCTTATAATGCCAACCAGCTAATGCAGGTAATAATAGTGGAGATCACATTTATTTAATGTTTGTCTAAATACTTGATTTTATGAGCATTTTACATTGTTGGAGCTTCATAAAAGTTTTTAAATATAGGGAAAAGAATGTATGTAGTGACTTCATTTTTGTATTTTTTTTTTTTTTTTAATTTTATTAATTTGTTGTTCAAAAAGTAAAAGTTGCATGTTATGTTAGGAATGCTCTCCAATAAAACAAAATTGACAATACGCTATGTATATATTTAATATACAAAGATCAGACTAATCTGCTCCCCCCACATGATGCAATCTCTATCTCTGAGATAGGCTGATGAAGTATTTAATTATTATTGTGTTTAGGTGGTTGGCACCTCGGTAAATATGCTGCCTGGCACAATGGTGGCCACCAGTAGTGGCTCAGTCACTATTCAGGTAACCGTATGAGTGACCTAAGAAAAAATCCTGAAAATTAATGAACTCTCTTTCATCCTTGCGCTACTAACTAATGCATTTCTGAATATTTAATCATTCTATCATGAAGGGATTACACTGTGGGAAATGATTGATAATTGTAATTTATAATGGTTCATAATTAGAAATGATTTATTCAAGAGCTTTATTTTGGATAATTAAAAGAAGATTTTATATTTCTAAGATCTTGAAAAATATTTGTAATAACCCAACATTAATTTTTATTGGCTTTGTGTATTATTTCTACCAATGCTACAACTTTACTTGCAACTAATTTATGAATTAATAGTAGTGAAAATTTGTGTGAACTTAAATAATTTATTTTATATTTTACATTATATTGATTTGCAGCACTTCTTTTTCCCTGCAATCTACTTTGTACATTTGTACATCAAAATGTTATATTTGATTCAAGCACTTTTTGTGTTCAGTAGATTAGAAAATCGTATGCAAATTTTACATGCCTGGCAGCTGGAGTTTGCCTTTAACCAAAATTGTTTTCCACAATTAATTTTTATTGATTTTATCAGTATAACCCATAAGTTTTAAAAGATCAAACTGACTTTAAGGCCTCAAAATCTTTACACAATTTTAGCTGTACACAATTTTTAATAAAAAATAAAAAAAGTCTCAAATATTTTGAAAATAATCTAGGATTAAAGTCATGGTTGTGGTGTGCTTTCTGCATTTATAATATGATTTTCAAAAGTGTTTCAAACTGTTACTTTTGTTCCAACATACATCACACTTTATAATTATGTATTAATGTATTTGATTCATTTTAGACAACTCCCAGCGGCTCATCAAAAGCTACAAACAATTCAAAGATTTTACATCAGCCAAGTATATCAATAACTCCATTGCCTAGGCAATCTGTATCTTCGAGTAGCACTAGTAATTCTCCAACTTCAAATGCCAATAAGCCAGGCCAACAGGCTACAGGAAAAGCAGCATTTGTTATTTGTGAAATTTGTGATGGTTATATAAAGGACTTAGATCAATTAAGAAATCACATGCAGTGGATTCACAAAGTTAAGGTAATTGACTAGAATATGCATGCAATATGCCACAACGATTTATTGCTCAATTATTTATCAAAGAATTATAATAAATTTTGTGTTTTTTAGATTCATCCAAAGATGATTTATAATAGGCCGCCATTAAATTGCCAAAAATGTCAGTTTAGATTCTTTACTGATCAAGGTTTAGAAAGGCATTTACTCGGATCTCATGGTTTAGTGACTTCATCTATGCAAGAAGCAGCTAATAAAGGCAAGGATGCTGGCAGATGTCCAGTTTGCGGTCGAGTAAGTTGAAAATAACTCTTTATTTATCAAACAGCAGATTGATAAGGATATTGTTTCCTGTTGTGTAATTGAATGAAATAGATAATTCTAAAGTCTTACAATTTTTTCATTTAGGTTTACCAATGGAAATTATTAAACCACGTTAATCGCGATCACAATATGACTTTAAAACCTGCACACCTCTCCTACAAATGTACAGTATGTACGGCAACATTTGGAATGTACAAACAATTTGAAAATCATGTCTATTCAGCGCACAGTGTGGTTGCAAAGAAAGTCATGGATAAAAAAGCAACGCCTGGCAGTGGCAGCAGTAGTAGTCCTCTAAATAAAGGTGGAGACTCCTTGTTGAAGCCGTTAAAAATTAATGATGAAATAACTATTATACCTCAGCCACCTAAGCCCCGGCCTGGGCCTGCTAGCAGAACTGCACAGAACAGCAGTGCCACATTGACTGTCACTAAAAAATGATGTGGTAAAGTAAGTTAGCATTTCAATCTCTTTTAGTTAAATATTTGTAAGATTATCATATTAATTTGATTCTTGTTCATTATAACATATTCATATTTTTATTTTTAGAAGCAGAAGAATGATGTTTTTAAAATCAAAGTGAAAAGTTATAGTGTATAGTTATATTTGAATAGATAATGTGAAAGAGATGTTGACTAAAAGAAAAGAACGTAAACATAAGAAATAGTTGAAATAATATTTAACAGATATAATTTTGTTGATTAAAAAAAAGTGCTGTTTTATTAAAATGATGATAAATCAAGCAAAAAATACTGGAGAAACAAACAACATTCATTGATAAAATCTGGGCTAAATGTGCCTTTTATATTGTGTGACCGTTTACATACACCTAGCCGGCTATTATATATAAAGATTATCGTGTATGTTGATGTGTGATTTAATTTGCTGTCATTTTGTATATAGAGAAAGTTTTAAGTAATGAAATGGTGAAGATATCTTCAGAATTATGCCATAGTTTATAAGTGAATTGTATTTTAATTAGATCTAATTTAAGAAAAACAATAAATAGTGTTTTTTCCTTGGCAAAACTTTTTACAACCACATGAAAATATAGAACATTTTTTATATAACATATATTGATCGTACTTTAATCATAATTATTTCAAACTTTGTTGAATTTTATTTATTTATGTTGAATTTTGGCATGTAGTCTCCATTAGTATAATCCTGAAGATATTTATTAGAAGCTAGAAGAATCATAAATTCCTCAATAATGGTGTTTTAATATTCTTCAACTGAAAGTTGTAATTTAAGTGTAGATTATTTATACCACCTGATTGAATGTGCTAAGAGATCCTGAATTATCCATTTCGTTATGAGGAATAAACAAATCTAAGTTTTAGTGGATTTTTTTTTTCTGTATTTTAATTTCACAGAAAAAAATATGTAGGATCCCAGGGTATTTGTGTTAGTGCATAATTAAAAGTGGTGATTTATTTGAGATAATGTAATTTAAATAAAATGGCTCAGCAGGAACTTTTAATATTTTTTTTACTCTGTATTGTTTGAAACTTGTTATAAACATATGACTGTAAACTAAATGTATTAAACTTAACAAATAATTATATCAAAATGTACATAATCTCACACGATACCAAACATTGCATTGTACGATAGCTATGGTATAAGAAATAAATAAATATGTTCTTTATTTTGTGTTTTATTGAAGTAGTAACTTAATAAATTGCACGTCATTATACATATTTCGGGCCTTGTTCTGAATGCAAGTTTTGTTCGTCGAAGTTGGTAGAGATAAATTTTATATTACGCCTGATCATTTTGCAGCCTGTAATTAACTGTTGTAATGATTCGCCTATTCATATTGGTCTTTAGCATCCACCGTCCGAAGAATAATGTATTCCAATTGGAATCGCATAGCAAGTTCTTTCTCGAGAATAACGATTTTATTTGTTTTGAATGATTTGAGCTTTGGTTAAGATGCTGACCGATTTGACGAGTCACTGCATCCAAATTAAAGTCATTTCTCGAAACGGCTAATTCTTGTCGTTACAAAAATCTGATAACACAAATAAATCCAAGACAGATTTTAATATTGCGAGTCCGATTAGAAGAACCCGACGAGTTTTATTGGTTGTGGGACGAATCAGTACATTCCAATTGGACTCCTATCGCAAGCTTTCAATCGTACGAAGATCAAAAACATACTGAAGTTGGTACAGGGAAACAGTGTTGTGTTGAATCGAGCGGGAATTTAAAACCTTTAATACATTGATGAATTAATTCAAGCGCATCAATATATTTATAAAAAAATATTATCACAGTTAAATTATACGAGATAGTTTTCTGAATACATTATACTTATAATGTTAGTGAAGTGTGTCGCTTAAAATC